CAAAGGTTTGGACGGGAAGCGAAGCGGTTTGTTGGCTCTGTTGTCGGGAAACGTCGACCTGCTGCTGATCAGGATGAAGCTGGACGTGAAAATCGAGACGCTGAAGTTCTGCTTCGCACTTTTAAACTCCGTCTTCCTGGTGAGTTTCTCCTGGATTTTCAGCATCAACTCGTTTTCAGCCATTTAAATCAGGTTCTTCATGAATGTTAACTGGAGATTTGGTTTTGTTTGTCATCTTTTAAGCATTTCTCAATGTTTGGTTTATTCTTCAGTTTAATATGAACCTGCAATGTTTTTTGAAGAACATTTCCTGTTTCCAGATCCAGTTTCTTTGCTTTCAGTCCTTCTGTTCCTGCTGGTTGTTTGTTGTTGTGACAGGAAGTGGCTCTTTGAAGCAACAGGAAATGATCATGTTGAATCTTTTCTGTAAAGGAGTTCCCCAAGGCTTCGCACCTGGAAACAATTTATCATGCAGCTGCCTCTTATGGGGTTTGAGCGGCTGTGGAAGCAGAGGCCTTCCAGGCAGGAGCCAGGATGTGCTATTAATAAAATAATTGATTGATTATTGATTGATTTAGGGACACTCAGGTTTCAGATGTTTCTTCTTGCTTCAACTCACCTGAGCTGGAAGCTTATATTGTTTTAGACTTTTGAATCATTTTATGACTTGTTAAGAAAGAGATTTAACTGATCAGATGTTTAGAAGTACGGTGGCCCAGAAAGGCCAATAAAATGCAAAAATAGAAAAACAAAATGTGCAGATAGTAACGGACAGAAGCTGTCTAAATTTGCATGAATTCATTTCAGTATTAATTTCATTTTGTTTTACTGGAGCCTAAATTTTGTTTATGCAAAAAATTCAGTTTTAGCAAAAATTCCCTTTGAGAATACATTTTATTTTTGCCATATTCTAAATTTTGTTTTAGATATTTTTTTTTGGCATAACCTAACATCAGTTTTAGCATAAATTTAATGTTAGCATAAATCCCACTTTCGCTTCCATTCTGGTTTTCATAGCTCCAGTTTTAGCTCCATGTTTTAGCTCCAGTTTTAGCTGCATGTTTTAGCTCCAGTTTTAGCTCCATGTTTTAGCTCCAGTTTTAGCTCCAGTTTTAGCTCCAGTTTTAGCTCCATGTTTTAGCTCCATGTTTTAGCTCCAGTTTTAGCTCCAGTTTTAGCTCCAGTTTTAGCTCCATGTTTTAGCTCCAGTTTTAGCTCCATGTTAGCGTGTCCAGCATCTCCTCTGCAGGCTCAGCTTCGCCTGTTTCACCAACGTTAGTGTGATGCAGGTCTGGACTTTCTCTGCAGGTTCTGGGTCTGAGCGTTATGGGCTGTGGAATCTGGATCCTCTTCGACACCGGGAGCTTCCTGAATGTCCTCTCTTCTGGTACCAACATAAAAATAAATACTTTTGTTTAAAGGACAGCGTAGCATTTATTCAGGGGGAGGAAAATCTCCCCAGAGGAAAAGATGAAAACTGAAATTTCCAGAAAGGTAAATGTAAATAAAGCAGATTTTAATTCACAGTGTTTTTTTCTGATGGCATCAGAGTTTGTAGTTAATAATCCACCACCTCCTGTTTCTCTGGTTATAAATATGACCTAGATCTATTTATCATTGACATTTGAAATAAGGCAGATTGGTTTTTCTGCCAAACAATGAATTGAATAAAAATAAAAATTCTGCTAAATTTGCAATAGTTTCAGTCAAACAGTTTGAATTCTGGTGGTTCTGTCCCAATCCTGGTCCACAACAAAACTGGGCCTGATGCTGAAGCTTCAGAAACTTCAGAAATCCTGCAGATCACAACAACGTGACAGAATCTATGCTGGAGTTCAGGGCCAACCTGAGAATTACAAAATATCACAAAAATAAAGTTGTTAAAGAATAAATCAAAACAATATAAGAATAAAGTTATGAATGTTATGAGCATGAAGCAAAACTAATATGGCAATAAAGTCATATTTTACTTAATTCTCATAGTTTTTTTTATTATTTCCTTAGTGTGGCTCAGTTAACATGAGACCTGCTTCATCCCGAGTCCGTCTCAGTTTTTGGTTTTTATATTTTTTGTGTGTTTTATATGTCTTTTGTATTTTTAGTGTTTTTTTTTAAATTTTTTGTGTTTTAAATATTTTTGTGTTTTTAATATTTTTGTGTTTTTATATTTTTTGTGTTTTTAATATTTTGTGTTTTTTTAATATTTTTGTGTTTTTTATATTTTTTGTGTTTTTAATATTTTTTCCATGTTTTTATATTTTTTCATGTTTTCTGTCTTTGCGTCCAGAGGAGCTGCAGGTGGTGGCAGTGGGTCTGTTTGTAATCGGTGGAGTGGTGGCGCTGGTCAGCCTGACTGGGTGTACTGGAGCGGCCCTGCAGAAACGGTTCCTGCTGCTGGCGGTGAGTTTCCCATGATTCCCTGCTGTGGGGAAAACAGCTGCTACCTGCTCAACACTCTGAGCGCTCTTCCTCCTCAGTACTTCTGCTTCCTCATCGCTCTGGTCCTGGGTCAGCTGTACGTCATCATCCTGCTGCTGCTGAACAGAAACCAGGTCAGTCCTCTTCACCGCGGCTCTGCCACGTAAAATCCACTCTTTTCTGTTTCCCAAAATGTTTTCATGTTTTTCCCTCATCAAAAATAAACCTGGAGTTTTGCCTCAACTCTTTCATGTCTGTGCTTCAGATAGAGCAGGAGTTTTTAAAGAGACAGAGACCCAATTAAATCAGGAAGTAATTATTTCTTTTAAGTCATCTTTGATATATTTAGCTTTTTCATAACTGAAGGTAAAAAGTTACTTGCTTGTGCCATAAAACTCTAAGTGGCTGGAAAACACCTAATGCCGCCCTTTAACTTCTTACCAGAAGAGATCTGTTGCTTTGATTCTCGTCCACCAAGAGGGAGATCATTTAAAGAGTTTCTAGGGTCAAAGGTCATTGTCATTTCCCTTCCATGTCTGGTGCTGGAGTCCATCAGAACAGCCGAAAACTGCTGAAGCTGCATAAAGCAGCTAAACAAACGCGAGGCTCGGATGTTAGCTCAAAAGTCTTATCCTGAGATCAGGAAGAAGTCATGAGGAGACCTAGCAGACCAACACCCCATCCTGGGATTTAAAAGTACGTTGTGGATTTACTCTGGTGTGCACAGAAATCATTGTTCAGAAAACCTAACAGTGATCCTGGTCATGGTTGTGAAAATAGTGACCAGTGAACAGAGGAAGAAAAAATTTCTACACATAATCAGTTTGTTTCACTCGAAAGACAAGAATGTAAATGTCGATATTGTTGGGCTGCTTAGGCTGCGTTCATACCAGCGCTGTTTAATCCACTGTAATCCAACTCCAGTACATCTGCCTAGATAGTCCAGTTTGGTTGTGGAGGTGTGAATGCATTACTGAACTCTGACCACAGAGCAGACAACGGTTCATCGGTTCAGTTCAAGTCTGGTGTGGTTTGAGTGCATGTGTGAATGTTTCAGTCTGTTTTTGTGTGTTATTGTGTTTAATTCAGTCTTTGTTAAAGATTGTAGCTTACCGTTGTTTTCCCTCACCAGATCGAAGACGTTCTGACTCAAACTGTGAATGCCATCATACTTAGGTATGGAAACAGCAGCGGGATCGACAGAATCATGGATAACGTTCAGCATTTTGTGAGTTTCTCCAACATCACTTCTGTCCTAGCTAAAGTAAAAGATGCCTGGTTAATATTTGCCTTTATTCTGGCTCACAGACTAATTGCTGTGGCATAAATGAACCGGAGGACTGGCTCCAGAACTCCTTCATTCAATCTCTGAACCTGACAGGCCAGAACGTCCTGCCGTGTTCCTGTTTCCGCTCCTTTCAGCCGAGCAAAAATTCGTCCTGGTGCTTGGAAACTAATAGCACCAATGTAACGATGCCTGGAACAGGATCTGGTTTTTTCAAAGAGGTACAGTCGACTAAAACGAACAGCAGAAATCTGGACGTGTTGCAGCGTGACGTCATGTGTTTACGATCCCGCCGCAGCTCCTGTCTGCAGGGCAAAACGCCGCTAACGTCTGATGACAAAAGAAAAAGAGACGCAGTTTCAATTAAGATTAAGAAACGTTTTAATGAAGAGAAATAGCAAGAGAGAGGGAAGTAGGTCAGCTGCTAGCTTGACTTTGACAACACTAACACATAGATGCATCCTTCACACCAACTCTGACAAATGATCAGTAGAGCAAGGCTAGAAATGAGCTAATCAACCACTGCTGTGTTAGCTTAGCTAATAGCAGCAGTAGCTAACCTAGCACAACGATCACCTAATAATCACAAAATAAACATCAAACTGGAACTGAATGTTCTGCTCCTTGTGGGAAATGTTTTTGATTTTCAATCTTGACATAGTGGCGATGTTGTCAGTCAGTTGCTATGGCAACGAGAGAAGTGGACACAGTGAGAGAAGAAAGAAAGTAGGATTAGTTTTGAGTTATTCTTCTACGGTTTCTGTGCTTCTCTCCCTTTTCTGTGGCTCCCGATAATAATCCACCTCCAGTTAAGGTTCTACTGCCGTCCACACAGAATCTGATAATGAGTTGGTTCATTGAAATGATGTGTGTGATGTCACAGAGCTGCAGACAGAAGATCGACCAATGGCTGCAGGAGAACGTCATCACCATGGTTGCCATGACTGCATTCCTCATTTTAATCCAGGTAAGGATAATCTGGAAGGTTTAACCTCCATTCATTCCTCTTTCACTGGGCACATGTTGGCAGATCATTTCCTCTCATTCAAAGACTGCTATTATCTGTAATTAGATACCATCTAGTGGTCGGAGTGTGAACTACACCTGGTTTATTAAAGAGGAAACGTACAGTAGCTGATTAACTCAGTAAATAATCTTAACCATTAACTAGATTCAGCAGTAAAATATACATTTAGGCTGAGAAATGTCTTCTACTTATCATGCATCAAAATAGAGAACATGTGATCAAAATTATAAAGTTTATTTCTAATTTGGGGTTTAAAGCTTTTAGTGGCATTCACAACTAAGCAATGGAAAAGAGCTAAATGTAGTTTGTAGGAATACCTACAATTCATTATGCAATACATAGTATGAAACTATGAATATTGATTAAAATAAGTACATAAGGTAATATAATATTCATCATGAAACGGGATGAAGCCCATTTTCATCATGAAAAAGTCTTAAAGTCATAATTTCAGGAAGCCAGAATGATCATAAACAGCAAAATTACAAGGAATCACATTTTTTGTACAATTTAATTAATTCATTTTAATTGGTTTATTCAAATTAATTTAAGTTCTTAAGGACGGATTTCTGCATTTCAGTTGTAATTACTGTGGCTGCCTGAAGGGGGTGCTGACGGCCCTTTGCTCTGCAGGTCATTGACCTTTTCGTCGCTGGGTCTTTGTTCCGCATGTTTGGAGAAAAAGACAAAAACAAGCAGCTCATTGATGAAGACGACACCAACTCCGCCTCCGAGGCCGACCCGGATGGCGGAGAGCAGAACCGGGCCTTCATGGACCCGGATGAAGGCGCCGCAGAACCAGACTACATGACAGCTGGAGACGCCAACAACATGGCTGACCAGTACAACCAGAACCAGAACCAGGGGTACATCCATGCTGGAGATGCAAACAACATGACGTATGACCAGTACCAGTACAACCAGGACCAGAACCAGAGCTTCCAGAACCAGAGATTCCAGAACCAAGGCTTCCAGAACCAAGGCTTCCAGAACCAGGGCTTCCAGAACCAGAGGTTCCAGGTCCAGAACCAAGGCTTCCAGAACCAGAGCTTCCAGAACCAAGGCTTCCAGAACCAGGGCTTCCAGAACCAAGGCTTCCAGAACCAGAGGTTCCAGAACCAGAGCTTCCAGGTCCAGAACCAAGGCTTCCAGAACCAGAGCTTCCAGAACCAGAGCTTCCAGAACCAGAGCTTCCAGAACCAGAGCTTCCAGAACCAGAGCTTCCAGGAGCCACTTAACTTCAACCAGAACCAGGGTTACCATGATTACCAGGAGGCTAATCAGCATTATTAATCAGTGATATATTAGCTGCTTTCTGGCTGCTTGAAGAGTTTTAAGAAAAAACTTTTTTCTCCTTTCGGTTAATGAAGCTGAATTAATCAGAAACGTCCTTTTGGAAAACAAAACCACAGAAACTTTGTTGGTTTTATCTCCGTTTTTAACCATCAACCAAATTTTCGCCTCGTCATCGTCGGCCATGTTTGTTCACTCTGAGCGATTTGAATGACGAGATGAAAATATGTTTCATATTTGACCATATTGTAGAAATAAAGTGTCACATATTGATATTTATCTGTTTCCTACATTCTTCACTTATTGTTGATCATTATTAAACAGTAACATGAAGACGGTCTTTATATAGATCATTACTGTTCATTAGTAGCTTATAATTAAAGGCAAATTGATAAAATGAGTTATTTAAAAAGTGTTTCTGTATCCAGGAAGTAGCAGCAGAACCAGAAGCTGAAAATCAGCCTGTTGGGATGAAATGTGACTCTTGTTCATCTTAACATTTTTATTCAATAAATAGAAAAACATTTTCAGCCATCTTGTAGAAAAGTTACAAAAGTACACAAATGATTCCTCCATGCTCAACAGCGCCCCACAGAGGCAGGACAGAAAATCTCAACAGTTAAAGACAATTTTAAAATAAAAAAGTTTAATACATTAAAGGAAAGAAGGGAAAATGTGACTCCCTAATGTAATAAACTGGATAATCCTGAAGAGGAATAAACATGAATTCAAGCTTCTCTTCATGAGTGCAAACAGAAAACATGTCCACCCATTTCCCAGAGCCTTCTCCCACTGGGCCAGGAGGGGCGCTGTGCCTCTCCAGCTGTTGACAGTGGTCGATCTGATCATTTCAATTAAAACTCAGATCTGAGTGAATCTACAGGATTTGTTTGGAAGCGCGTCGATCAGACCAGCTGACCTGAAGGATCCTGAGGAGCCAATAAATTATCCTGATGTAGGCGGAGCATCTTGACCCGGAAGTTGGTGCTGCGCGCTCTTCCTCTTGCCCATATAAGGAAGGTCCTGTGTTTGAGGCAGCTGGTGTATTAGGGAGACGGGTAGCCAGTTTTTGCATTTAACGCAGGAAGATCGCTGAGGGGATCAGAGCCCAGGCTGATTCATCCAGAGGAACGCTGAACATGAAGTGTTAGAATGATTCCTGATTCCTCCACTGATTGTTACAGGTAACAAACTTCTAGAGAGACGAACAAAGCGCCGTCAGGAAACCTGTAAGGTTTCCAGGGCCAGCATAGACTTCGGGTTTTAGTGCGGCCATTTTTGTTCAATAAAATAAAGAGTTTATGCCTGTCGGCTTTGTGAGCTCAATAAACTGTGTTTGATTTGCCTCTGGTCATTTTTACAAACCCATCTGTGTAAAAAGAGGATTGAAGGTTCTCCACACAAAACCAAAGCTGTAGCCAAAGTCCCACTGAGGAACGAAGAGATCTCTGCGTTCACAGAGCAGATCCGGGTTTGTGCTCCACCACCGACTTCACCTGCTGCTGCCAGCAGGCGATGCACTGCAGCAGCTTCATCAGGGCCGAGGAGTCCAGGCGGCCCAGAGCCGGGCCAGGACTGCTGGTGGGACAGCGGTCCACATTCTGCAATAATCAATCAATCAATCAATCAATCAATCAATCAATCAATCAATCAATCAATCAACAATCAATCAACCATCAATCAATCAATCAACCATCAATCAATCAATCAATCAATCAATCAATCAACCATCAATCCATCATCCATCATCCATCCATTCATCCATCATCCATCCATCCATCATCCATTATCCATCCATCCATCCATCCATCCATCATCCATCCATCCATCCATCATCCATCCATCATCCATCCATCCATCTCCATCATCATCCATCCATCCATCCATCCATCCATCCATCCATCCATCCATCCATCATCCATCCATCCATCATCCATCATCCATCATCCATCCATCCATCATCCATCCATCCATCATCCATCCATCATCCATCCATCCATCCATCCATCATCCATCCATCCATCCATCCATCCATCATCCATCCATCCATCCATCCCATCATCCATCCATCCATCATCCATCATCCATCATCCATCCATCCATCCATCCATCATCCATCCATCCATCCATCCATCCATCCATCCATCCATCCATCCATCATCCATCATCCATCATCCATCCATCCATCATCCATCCATCCATCATCCATCCATCATCCATCCATCCATCCATCCATCCATCCATCCATCCATCCATCATCCATCCATCCATCCATCCATCCATCATCCATCCATCCATCCATCCATCCATCATCCATCCATCCATCATCCATCCATCCATCCATCCATCCATCCATCCATCCATCCATCCATCCATCCATCCATCCATCCATCCATCCATCATCCATCCATCCATCCATCCATCCATCATCCATCCATCCATCAAATGTCTGCTTTCTTACAAAATCTATGATCCTTTCTCCATTTCTACTCTAATTCTTCCCTTCTTCATCGTTTCTCCTCCAGTCAGAAACTCACCAGGTGTTGCAGCAGGTCCTTGTTGAACGTCATCATGTGTTTCGCCAAAGTTTCCGTTTTGTTCCGTTTGTTTTCGTCGACGTAACGTTGGATTTCCACCGGGCAGGTTTGCTTCTGACAGAGTCTGTCGGCCGACTGCAAGGAAGACATTTTATGAGACAATTCATAGAAAACCTGAACGACTCAAAACGACAGGTGGACACACGTCCGCTAACATGCTAACTATTCAAAACAAACTTTTAGCACAGTTAGCTTCCCCTAAATGAATCTGCGAACTTTCAACTGAATGAATTTCAACCTCTGGTTCTGATGTAACTATTATCTCTTTAGGGTTAGCATAACCATTTAGTCAGCAGTTAGCACCGCCTAAAGTTCTCCAAGCTCTCTTGAGGTCAGAGGTTAAATCACTGCTTCCAACAACGCCTCTGAATGCGTAGCATCATGTTGGAGCTTGAAGATGATGAGCTACAGCAGCAGACGACCTCACCGCTAGCAACAGGAAACCAAGGCTAATGTTTACACGCAGTCACTGAACCTGCAGGTTGGATACATGTTTCCTGGTCCGATAAGTCAGGAGTTGGTGAACAAATGGAACCATGTTGGTCCAGGCTGGTAGAGGAGGTATAATGCTGTGGGAGAAGCCAGGACATAGATGCTGCTGTCCATCTACATCCCTTCATGACCACAGCATACCATTCCTATGGTAACCATGCTAAATCATGCTACATAAAGACAGTTGGTCATAAATTTGAAACCAAGCAGAGACCAACTTCTGACAGATTGGAATCACGTCCTGCCTTCAGGTAACAGACACATGAAGGTGAGACGCAGTCCTGAATCCAGAGACTGTTTCCTGCTTACTTTGCTCCATGGGAGCGACGACTCCTCACAGTCCTGGGACGGCAGGCCTTTAAAGAGTTTCTATGGAAAACAAGACAGAATGAAGCAAAGTGAGATTAAAACCGCCGCCATGTTTCCAGAGGCGGAGCCTCACCGACTCCTTCACCAAGCTGCTGTAATTCCTCAGCTCCGCCTCCAGGCTCTCGGCGAGGCTGCGAACGTCAGGGGTCACTGTTGGCGTCTGAGTGGTAGGCACCGCCCGGCCCATCACAAGCTCCGCCCACAAGCCCAGGTACAGGAAGCAAACGAGACGGCAAGTCACTGCAAGAGAAGCAGGCTCAGTTAGAGACAGAGGGAGGAGCTGCGTAAACACCTCCAAACTGTGCAGGCGAGGCTAGGCTGGCTGCTAAGAAACTGAACCTGTTATAACTTAGTTATTATTATAACAGCTGAAATGATTAATCTGACTAATTGATTATTGGATTAAATGTCAGCTAAATTAGTGACAGAACAACACATGAAGCAAAAACTGAACAAAAATATAAACATTTAAGATAAAAATAAACCCAGTTTGTAAACAAATCTCCTCCAGCAGTTTCAGCTTCATCAGATTGAGTAAAAAACTAATCTATGGAGCAACTTTTCAAAAACTAAACCCAACTATGATCCGCCCGACGCCCTTTTAAAGGAATGTTGTTATAAAATGTTTAGTTTGTTATTTATGCTGTATATAATTTCTATATAAGAAGCTTCATAGATGACAAACTAAATATTCTCTATTTTTATGTTTCTGTGCAAATTTTGAAATTTTTGTGTAAATTTATTTGAACTAAATTTGTCCAATCAGTTTTTGATTGTCTGCAGAAAACATCAAAAGGTCTGAAAATGTTTTTTTTAACCTTAAAATGAAATGAATAAATAAATCCTGAATCTTTTTTGCACTTGAACATCAGTTAAAATATGCTACATTCATGTATTTTTGTGTTTAAACATAAAATTCACAGTCATGAGGTTTATTTCACGGGTCTTGATGAAAATGTGATTTTTTTTTTAGTCGTGTTTCGGGCTGGAAGCAGCTGAACATTCGGACCGGATGGTTCTGGTTCTTCTGGTCCGGACGCTGCAGTGACTCATTGATGGATCAATCAATCAGTCACTCTGGATCGGCTGCTTCTGCCTGGATGACAGAAACGGCTCCACAGCGTGACGCCGTCCGTTTCCATCCAATAAGCCAGATCACATGAATATCAGTTTGTTCTGTCATTTGACTCCACAGTTTTATGGAAACTGAATCACAGGAATCCAATTCCTCACTTCTGCAGAATGTTGATGATTTTCTTACAGTAATAATTGCTAAAACGACTCTTTTGATCTGAACAAAGATGTTCCACTGAGCGGCGTCTCCAAGCTGGACCTCCTCAACTGAGGTTCTGGAAGTCCAGTTAGTTCTGATGTCACTTCCTGCTGCTTGTGCTTCTTTCCTACCACATGTTTTCCTTCCACTAAACCTTCTCATAACAAGCTTCCTTAGTGTCATTATTTACGGGATGACTCTTCATGACAACAGTCATAAACATTCATAAAAACTCCTTCATGTCAGTCGCATCAAAAACCGTCAATTTTTTTGTTTTCATTTTAAGCTGTTTTTTATGCAAGTCAAAACATAAATAAGGTTTTAATTTCCTTGTTAGAAAATAAAGTTCAAATCTTGTGATATTTAAATTCAATTAAATCTAATAATTGATTTTTTTTCATCAAAATATAATTCATAAACAAATAACAAAAAACAAAATTTTAAAAAATAATAAAAAAAAACAACTGAAGATGTAAAAACACATAAAGTCATTAAAAGTATTAAAAATAGTAAAGATGCTGATGAATAATTTAATTTCATTCATGATTCCAAAATGTTTCTACTTTCTGTCAAATAAAAATGATAATTTATTTAAATTAATG